AAAATCAATGGGAAAGCTTTATATGACCACTTTTATTTAATTAAAAACGTCAGATGAATACTTTCCCAATCTATTATTATTCGATCGTCTTTTCATTGATTGAATGTTCCTTTATTTTGTTCGATATGATAAATGCAGTCAATGATAATTCTGCAAGTACTTGTATCTTTTTTTGACAACTCTTATTCCTTTTTAAGTAATGTAACAACATCATCGAATTCTTCATCATAATCAATTGATACAAATGAACCAATAGTTTCAATATCTTGTTTTCCATGAACATTAAAAAAAAGTTTACTAACAACAAGTACTAACAATCGTCGTCAACAAAATGTTGAAAAAACAAATTCATTCATTATTCATTAAAGGGCAATTCAATTATCACAACTTTTATTTTCTTTGTGATTATCATCTTCGAAAGGGCTATTATTTAGATTATCTTGCACTATAGCATGATTATAATCTTCTCCACTTCAATGTTTTCTTTTTTTTATCGAAGTCATTGATGTGCTTGCATTCTTTTTCTTTTTTCCATTGCCCAAAACTTAACGATGCTCTTCGAAAGTACGAAAATAAAACAAAATAGTCTGATTTTAATCCAGTTTTCATCAAAAAAATCAATTAAAATCAAATAAATCTGTCTTGTAAAATGAAAAGACATGCTAACCATATGATTTACTGTATAATAATTCTAACTTATTGTGTCGACATTTTTTAAACTGACTAACCATCTAATAATATCATTTGTCAAAATGTGGCATTCATGTCAAAGACTCGTTAAATGTTGTACCTATCATAAAAGTCAATTGGAAAGCTTTATATGACCCCTTTTATTCAAGTTGATAATAATTCGAATCATTTGCTTGAAATAAAACTTTTTCCTTTCGTTCTTTTTTTAGATAAGTTGTCTAGTTTCCTGTCAGTAAGTTCTCTAGCATCATGTTTTTATCCATGCCTGTTGGTATTAGTAATATAAGCTCTATTGTATTCCAATCCACTCTAAATCCCATTGAACTTGAACAGATAAATAATTGATAGACCTTTGAATGCACCAATTGAAGAAGCCAACGCCAAACCGTTTTCTTCAAAAGCTATTCCATATAAAAATTAAATATTATTTCGATAGGTCGTCGCCAAGCCTCGGTCAGTGTTGCTTCGAATAACCTAGAGTGAATCTATGAAAACATTTTTTTAATTTTAACAATGAATTTTTACAGAAAATTGCATGGTGTTGGATCTCATGAATGGAAAACTCAAAGATTTTTGGATTGATAATTTTTTCGAGTTGAATGAAAGATTGTCATCGAATATTTCTATCGTTTATAGAAAAAACATCACAATAAATTACACTGCTGTTGTCCCAGTATCTAATTCATGCATCAACACACATATGTCCATCAGTTAATAGATTAAAGAGTTAATATTGATAAAAGCAGATTATTATGTTTTCCTAATTCTAAATTTATCATCAAACATATATTATTTTATGTAAATTACAGACATCATTCTTCTCAAATGCATTTTCAATTTTTATCCACTTATCCCTGTTGTTGAATTCATCGTCTATGTTAGTAAATTTCATTTAAGTTTTTTTGTTTAATATATGGGAAGATCTATCAACTACATAATAAACTCTTAAAATTGAAAAGCTTAATCAAGTGAGCGACTGAAAAATCGCCTAATAACTAAGGCTAGAAAAGAACTATCAGCTGCTATTATAATTCATATTTTTTCAGGAACTGCGTAAAAACTACGTCAATCTAGCAGGAAAAAACGATTTTAATTATATGTTATCATCAAATGAGAGGAAGTTAACCATTTTTCATGACTTTTACATAAAAAAAATAAGAAAAAGAAAATAGACAAAAAAAAGGACAAATAAAATGTGAACTCTATAAATAGCCATCCATCTATTCACTTGTCTCTATAATATAACTCGACTATGTTTCATATGAGATATCTATTCAGTTTTATTCTCTTACATTTGATTTTTGCTACTCCACAAATCAATCTTCATTATACAGAGTGGTTAAGTGAAAATGAAAGTAATAATGTATTACAACATGATTGTATACGTGTCCCTGCTTCTATTGACGAAGCAAATATTAAACATGAAATTATATCTTATTGTATGAATGATTTACCATCGAAATTTCATATCGAAAACAAGGATATTTTTCCAAAGTTTACTTTTGCTGAACTTTCGAAATTGAGTATTACTAGTGAACAATTATATGTTTGGTCAGCACCGATCGATCTTGTTGAACGCTATCAATTCTATTTAAATCTATTATTAACATCAAATGCTATACCTCTCGAAAAGCAAGTTTTCTTTAATTGTACACTACCAAGATTTGGTTCTATGTGTCAATATGAAATTATTTATTATCACTCAAATCATTCATCCTTATATGAAATTATTCATGAATATTATCGTTCATATGAATATAATCCTATCAATTTGACCTGTTATACTCATTTACAATGTAATCGTGGTCCTTTTCCAGCATGTTTAGATTGGAGTGAAATATGTGATGGACAAGTAGATTGTCTCGATGGTGATTTTGATGAAGAGCATTGTTGGCAACTTGAAATGAATGAATGTAATGATAATGAATATCGATGTAGTAATGGACAATGCATACCACAGTCGTTTTTTCGAGATGATATTAATACTCCTGATTGTCTTGATGATTCTGATGAAGTTCCAAAATATAGGGTAGCAGTTCAGTACTGTAACAAAGCAATACCATCATTTGGTTGCGAAGAAAAGATACGTCAGTATACTTTCGTGACAAAATCTTCTGTGTTACAACGCAAAGACTTACTATTGAAAGCAATCTATTCTGCTAAAGATAATTCGATATCTGAACAATGTTGGTCAGCATTTAAATGCCTCTTACAAGTACCAGGTTCAGAACGGCCATTTTGTCGTAATATTTGTGAAAGCTTCGTTTGTGTTGAGATCATACAAAACACATGTCCAGATATGTTTTATATGCCGAATGTTCCATTTTTTTTTGGTCACATTTACTTTGCACATACAAAAAATGATTCAATAATTTTGGCCAATAGACATTTTGCACCACCTTATCTATGCTATAACAATTCTCTTTATGATGAGTATTTTATTGATCACCCAAAAGTTTTTTTTCAAAATAGAACATGTTTCCGTTCTCCTCTGCGATGGTCTCATATGTCTTTCTCCACTGTATGGAATGTGAGATATCACATGCCGTTATACGCACTATACAAAGATTTGAAGCGATTTAATCTAATTATTAACTATACTGCTGAAATTTGTAATAGACCAAAAATGTACCAGTGTTTGAATTCGGTCAAATGTATCCCAACAAATCGTCTCATGGACAATAAAAACGACTGTCCTCACAAAGATGACGAAGACCTGACGCAAATGATTTACTCTAATTTAACAGAACTTTTAAGAAGCCATTTCAAATGTGAAATCGCTAACAATTACATACATCAATCGCTTGTTCAAAATGGAGAATGCGAATGTAAACTTGCAGACCAAGATTGGTGTGAAGATGAAGACTTTCATATTCACTATGTTCGAAAGAATATTTCATTTCCAACTATTTGTGATGAATTCACTGAACTCATTCCAAAAGCTATCGACGGACAAAATGAAACAGATGAAACAGAATGTGAACAATGGTCATGTAATAACATTTATACTCGTTGTGATGGTTTATGGAACTGCCCACGTGGTGAAGACGAAATTGGTTGTGATGTATCTTCAACCTTAAATTGTTCTGCAGATCATCACAAATGTGTTTCACCTGACACAACCCAACTTATATGTCTATCTATTGAGAAAGCCAATGATGGCAAGATCGATTGTCTTGGCGCTACTGATGAGCCAACATTATGTCAAACGAAATATCANTTCTCTAACATCATTTTTTTTGTCCATGTCTGTTGGTACTAGTAATATAAGCTCTATTGTATTCAAAGCCACTCTAAATCCCATTGAACTTGAACAGATAAATAATTGATAGACCTTTGAATACACCAATTAAGTAAGCCAACGCCAAACCGTTTTCTTGAAAAGCTATCCGATAGAAAAATTAAATATTATTTCGATAGGTCGTCGCCAAGCCTCGGTCAGTGTTGCTTCGAATAACCTAGAGTGAATCTATGAAAACATCTTTTTTATTTTAACAATGAATTTTTACAGAAAATTGCATGGTGTTGGATCTCATGAATGGAAGACTCAAAGATTTTTGGATTGATGATTTTTTCGAGTTAAACGAAAGAGTTTCATCGAGCATTTCTATCGTTAATAGAAATAACATCACAATAAATTACACTGCTGTTGTCCCAATATCTAATTTATGCATCAACACACATATGCCCCTCAGTTAATACATTAAAGAGTTCATATTGATAAAAGCAGATTATTATGTTTTCCTAATTCTAAATTTATCATCAAAAACATATTGTTTTATGTAAATTACAGACATCATTCTTCTCAAATGCATTTTCAATTTTTATCCACTTGTCCCTGTTGTCGAATGCATCTTCTATGTTAGTAAATTTCATTTAAGTTTTTTGTTTAACATATGGAAAGATCTATCAACTACATAATAAACTCATAAAATTGAAAAGCTTAATCAAGTGAACGACTGAAAAATCGCCTAATAACTAAGGCTAGAAAAGAACTATCAGCTGCTATTATTATTCATATTTTGTCAGGAACTGCGTCAAATCTACGTCAATCTAGCAGGAAAAACGATTTTAATTATATGTTATCATCAAATGAGAGGAAGTTAACCATTTTTCATGATTTTACATAAAAGAAAAAATAAGAAAAAGCAAATAGACAAAAAAAAAGGACAAATAAAATGTGAACTTTATAAATAGCCATCCATCTATTCACTTGTCTCTATAATTTAACTCGACTATGTTTCATACGAGATATCTATTCAGTTTTATTCTCTTACATTTGATTTTTGCTATTCCACAAATCAATCTTCATTATACAGAGTGGGTAAGTGAAAATGAAAGTAATAATGTATTACAACATGATTGTTTGCGTGTCTCTGCTTCTATTGATGAAGCAAATATTAATCATGAAATTATATCATTTTGTATGAATGATTTACCATCGAAATTTCATATCGAAAACAAGGATATTTTTCCAAAGTTTACTTTTGCTCAACTTTCGAAATTGGGTATTACTAGTCAACAATTATATGTTTGGTCAGCACCGATCGACCTTGTTGAACGCTATTAATTCTATTTAAATCTATTATTAACATCAAATGCTATAGCTCTCGAAAAGCAAGTTTTCTATAATTGTACATTACCAAGATTTGGTTCTATGTGTCAATATGAAATTATTTATTATCACTCAAATCATTCATCTTTATATGAAATTATTCATGAATACTATCGTTCATATGAATATAATCCTATTAATCTGACCTGTTATACTCATTTACAATGTAATCGAGGTCCTTTTCCAGCATGTTTAGATTAGAGTGAAATATGTGATGGACAAGTAGATTGTCTCGATGGTGATTTTGATGAAGAACATTGTTGGCAACTTGAAATGAATGAATGTAATGATAATGAATATCGATGTAGTAATGGACAATGTATACCACAGTCATTTTTTCGAGATGATATTAATACCTCTGATTGTCTTGATGATTCTGATGACGTTTCAAAGTATAGAATAGCAGTTCAGTACTGTAATAAAGTAATACCATCATTTGGTTGCGAAGAAAAGATACTTCAGTATACTTTCGTGACAAAATCTTCTGTGTCACAACGCAGAAACTTACTATTCAAAGCAATCTATTCTACTAAAGATAATTCGACATCTGAACAATGTTGGTCAGTATTTAAATGCCTCTTACAAGTACCAGGTTCAGAACAGCCATTTTGTCGTAATATTTGTGAAAGCTCCGTTTGTGTTGAGATCATACAAAACACATGTCCAGATATGTTTTATATGCCGAATACTCCATTTTTTTTCGGGCACATTTACCTTGCACATACAAAAAATGATTCAATAATTTTGGCCAATAGACAGTTTGCACCACCTTATCTATGCTATAACAACTCTCTTTATGATGAGTATTTTATTGATCACCCAAAATTTTTTTTTCAAAATAGAACATGTTTTCGTTCTCCTCTGCTACAGTCTCATATGTCTTTGTCGACTGTATGGAACGTAAGATATCACATGCCGTTATACGCACTATACAACGATTTGAAGCGATTTAATCTCATTATTAACTATACTGATGAAATTTGTAATAGACCAAAAATGTACCAGTGTTTGAATTCGATCAAATGTATCCCAACAAATCGTCTCATGGACAATACAAACGATTGTCCTCACAAAGATGACGAAGACCCGACGCAAATGATTTACTCTAATTTAACAGAACTCTTAAGAAACCATTTCAAATGTGAAATCGCTAACAATTACATACATCAATCCCTTGTTCAAAATGGAGAATGCGAATGTGAACTTGCAGATCAAGGTTGGTGTGAAGATGAAGACTTTCATATTCACTATATTCGAAAGAATATTTCATTTCTAACTATTTGTGATGAATTCACTGAACTCATTCCAAGAACTATCGACGGACAAAATGAAACAGATGAAACAGAATGTGAACAATGGTCATGTAATAACATTTATACTCGTTGTGATGGTTTATGGAACTGTCCACGTGGTGAAGACGAAATCGGTTGTGATGTATCTTCAACCTTAAATTGTTCTTCAGATCATCACAAATGTGTTTCACCTGACACAAATCAACTTATATGTCTGCCTGTTTCGAAAGCAAATGCTGGCAAGATCGATTGTCTTGGCGCTACTGATGAGCCAACATTATGTCAAACGAAATATCAAGTAGAATTTTACGAAAATTTTTACTGCATGAGAGGAAACCAAAAGTTATGTATTTCTTCTGCCGAGCTATGTGATGGTTACACATTTTGTGATCATGATAATGATGATGAAAAATTTTGTGTAAACAATCGCTCAAATGAATTTATCAGTGACGCTATTTGTGATTTGTCTAATTCTGCTGTTCGTTCTGATGTCGAACAATTTTTATGTCATGAAACAAAGAACAAGATAAAGCAACAAATTAAGTATTTTTCATTGGACAGAGTGAGCAAATCTGAAGAAGATCAAACTAAGAATGTGGCAAAACCGGCATTTTTAACTTCATCGATCATCAAACTATCTCATCAGCATGAACCTCGATGTCATCGTGGTTTTGATTTACGTATATGGTTAAACAATCAGAAAAACTCAACAACAGATGTATATCTTTGCCCACCTAGTTTTTATGGTGATCAATGTCAATATCAAAATCAACGAGTAAGTTTGACTATTAAATTTCGAGCATTATCAGATTCTTGGTCCACCTTATTTGCAATAATTATTTCACTTATTGATGACAGTGATGAAAGAATTATTCACTCATATGAACAATTCACTTATTTGTCGATAAGAGATTGTGAGACGAAATTTAATATTTATTTGCTTTATTCAAATCGACCAAAAAATCAAACAAAACATTATGCAATACATGTTGATATCTATGAAAAAGTTTCATTATCCCATCGAGGAAGTTTATTATTTCCAATAATATTTTCATTTTTACCTGTTTATCGTGTGGCATATAAAGTTGATATTCCTCGAAATAATGAAAACATTAAAAGTTGTTCGAACTCTGCATGTATTCAGGGAAAATGTATCATGTATTTAAATAAGTGATCATTCAAGAAGGAGGTACAGGATAAGGTGGAGGCATATCGAATGATTCTATACATTCAAATACTGAGGCAAGACTTTTTTTTCTTGTGTCACACAACTTTCATTGCAACTTTCAAGATTAATTTGATTCAACGAGCATTATTCCACATACATTCATGTGTTCATCTGATTCATTATATATTGGTGTCTCTGCGTATAATCGATCTGTATGCGTTTGTCCTGTTAATAAATTTGGTTATCAATGTCTCCTTGATAATACGATTTGTGAAATGGAGAAGAATCTGACATGTCAAAATGGTGGTCGTTGCATTCCTGCCGATGAATATACGATATCAAACAGAAAATTTATATGTATTTGTTCAAAAGGTTATAGTGGTGATCGATGTGAAATAGTTGATAAAAAAATTATTCTATCATTTGGAAACGATATTGTTGTATCTCAATCAATATTTATTCATTTCATTCAAGTCATAAATAATGGCACACCCATTAGAACAACTACTTTTCGAACAATTCCTCTTACACAACAGTTACTAACAATTTATTGGTCACAACCATTTCATCTTATTTTCATTGAATTTCTAAATAAAATTTATTATTTAGCTGTTATTCAAAAAACGTATGAACGATCAACAACACTTACTACAATGATAAGGCCATCAAATTTTTGTCAACATATAAATGAATTATTTAATGACACATTTATTCAGATGCACTTGATTCGTCGTATCAAATATTATCATTTACCATGTCAAAATTATTCGTCAAATCTTTCTTGTTTTTATGATGATAGTCATATTTGTCTATGTTATGATTATCAACAAACACGTTTAGCAAATTGTGTTGATTTTAATCATAATATGAAATTTGATTGTTTAGGTCAAAGTGTTTGTGAAAATGAAGGTCAATGTTTTCAAGATACTCTAGATTGTCCAAAAAAATCAATATGTATTTGTCCATCATGTTCTTATGGAACACGATGCCAATTTAGTTCAAGTGGATTTGCTTTATCACTTGATGCTATCTTAGGCTATCATATTCAACCGAATATTAGTCTTATACATCAACCGAATATTGTAAAAACTAGTTTAGCATTAACGATAATCTTTATGGTAGTAGGATTTATTAATGGAGCTTTAGCTTTAATTACATTCAACAATAAAACTATATGTGAAGTTGGTTGTGGTTTATATCTATTAGGTTCATCAATTACTACTTTACTTACAACTATCATATTTGGATTAAAGTTTTGGATACTTTTACTTGCACAAATGGCACTTATATCTAATAGGTTATTTTTACAAATTCAATGCTTATCTCTGGATTTTATTTTACGAATTTGTCTTAATATGGATCAATGGTTAAATGCTTGTGTGGCGATGGAACGCGCAATGACAATCATAAAAGCTATTCATTTTCGTGAGGAAAAAAATAAACAAATAGCTAAAATAACTATTGTTATTCTTCCAATTCTCGTTATTGGTACAACAATTTATGATCCTTTTTATCGACATTTAATTGATGAAGAAAATGAAGATGATAAACGAATATGGTGTATTATTACTTATCCGACTAGTATAAAAAAATTTAATTCTACTATACATACTTTTCATTTTTTGGCTCCATTCATTATTAATCTCACATCAGCTGTTATTTTCATAACAAAAAAATCTCGTCAGAAATCGAATCTTCAGACTCGTCAACCTTATAAAGAACATTTAAAGGAACAAATTTGTCAACATAAACATTTATTTACTGCTCCAGTTGTATTAGTTATTCTTGCATTACCACGTTTAATCCTTTTATTTGTATCAAAATGTATGAAATCAACATATGATTCATGGTTATTTCTTGTTGGATATTTTATTTCATTTATTCCATCTATGCTCACAGCCATGTTGTTTATAGTACCATCAAAATTTTACAAAAAACAACTTCAACAAACTCTCACTGTTTATCTTACTAACATCCAACGACATTTTAAATCTATTATATAAAAGTAAGTAAAAAGGGATTTGTTGAAGATATCGATTAGCTGAATTAATGAGTCGGTTTTTTTTCTTGTTAAATTAATTTTACATTTTTCTTATGATTACCAAACAAAACAGAGCAGATAGATATTTAGTAGAGTTATACTAGACCACTACCTAAATCAGTTGCAGCTAAACATTTTTTAGAATTTTCCATGTCAAATGAGACGTCATATCATATGGGATTAGCTCATAAAAATTTATAAAATTCCCTATGCCAATAATAATCACAATAACTTTTAACTTCTATTATAACGTGTGGCCCAGAATAAATGGCATACTTTGTATTTCGTGAATATCTTGCTTAGTTTTGTTTGTGGAGAGCTGAGACTAGGATCAAAAGATAGCCCGTTGAATTCTCTACAAGAATGGCATGAATCTTTATTCTGTACAAAACAAAGCAAAATATAAAAGTAAAAATACTCAACACATCCAAAAGAGTCAACTTTCTAAGCTGAAAAATGGTTTTTTAGATTTTTTTTCGTTGGCTACCAATGACAACAATAAACTAATATAGGTATTTTGTAGCCCTTGAAAATCTCTATCGATCGATCTTAATTTGAAAATTATCATGCTCATTCTTGCGGCATATGTCAATAATCTTCTTTTACAGATTTAAGACCAATTAGCTGTTTCATTCTGCGATTTTACAGCTGCTGGAAAAACACGTATAACTACGCCAAAACAGCATCTTTTGGGTTCAGATTTTCTTTTTTTTTATGAGAAAGGACCACTGTAGCAAATTCAGTGGCAACAGTTGAGCTGAAATTCTCTTCTTCAATTCAGCTGTCGAAAAATATTAGATTTAAATCATTGTGAATAAGATTTTGAATAGAGTTTTGAAAAGTCTGCCTTTTTGACCCTGACGTTAATTACAAGGAGCTGTGAGCTACATGAAGAAAAAGAGCATGCTTCAAAATACTCCGAAACATCTTTATAACCGTTTTCTTCGTTTTCAAAATTCTAAAAAAGGCTCCAAATAACTTTATTTAAAAGATTGTTTAGAAAGTTGGCCCTGTTGAATGTATTGAGTACTTTTGTTTTTATATTATTCCTTTTTTTGTACAGAATAATGTTTCATACTGAACTTGTAGAGAATTCAACGGGCTATCTTTTGATCCTAGTCTCAGCTCTCCACAAGCAAAACTAAGCAAGATATTCACGAAATACAAAGTATGCCATTTATTCTGGGTCACCCGTTATTAATTTTTTGTGCCTCAAAAAATAAATCGAGTTTCTAGAGGCGCTCGATTTTTTGCGTCGTTTAAGATACTACTTCCAAGGCAAACATAAACATATAAAGGGCTATTTAGATGATAATCAATTTAGTAGTTTTTATTACAGTATACCATAATATGAGAGTAAGATAAAAACATGTTTGAGATTTACGCAAAAGTTCACATTACATCAAATATATTTTCTCGAACTCCTTTGTTTACAAAAAACTCATCTGCATTATTTTCCAACATTTTTCTGAAAAATCTTATCGTTGTACTACCTCTGAGAGCTGATTCTTGACACTGATTATTAGTCCAATGCGCACTCATTGTGGTTCTTACTAAAAGCTGTTGCGCGTAATTTTGCTTTTTTGAGNTTTGAGTTATATATTAAAATATGCAGGCTTTGAAGCACTGTTAGGAACTAAATTCTATTTTTTTGTGAGACATTTAGATTCAACTATGCTACAGGCAAATTAGTGGTAAGGTGACACTCATGAAACATAGACGTCTTCTTCCTCATGAAGCCACGTTCAATTTCTAACATTTATTGTAATAACTACTGACGTATTCAATTTTAAACGATGAACTTATAAAATCGTAATAATATACGAGTAGAGCCTGTCAGTCGCCATGTGCGGATACGAGATACTTTTTCCGACTTTTTGTATTGCATAACTAGTACAACTTAGTGTTGTTAGATAACTAGAGCACGTTTCGTCAAAAAGTTTTGGAGCCCTTTGTTACAAAGTTGCAAGAATCGAATCTTAGTCGAATTTGGTTGGCTCTAGATTTGAGATCAACGCGACGCGGTCTACATAATGTTTTAATCGTTGATAGATATATAATCATATGATACTTTTTACGCATCGCATCAGCAGCTACAAAATTAACATTTGATTGTATGTCTATCAAAGATTGAAACAGTAATATGATTAAAGGCTATCATATAAAATGCTCGTATTCAATTTTTGAGATAAAATTGAATTGTTATTGTAATAAAAATGTAAATAATATCTTTTCACGTTGTTCATTTGGGTATCATATGAAGACTGTATGACTAGGATAGAAGTTTAAACAATTTATTGTTGTCTCTACTGTGCCATTATATTTTATAATTGTGTTTTTTGAATCGGAATGTTAAAACCGATTTATAAAAGCGTTTTCTAGAAATCTTTATTTTTCATCAAAGTCTACTTAACGTTGTTATGCAATGTTGTATATTAGCGAATTGTAATATGCTTTTGAATATAGTTATGCTTAACCTATTCTCTTATGTCGTGCATAAATAGCTTCGTATTTGCATTGGTAAATGAAAAAACAAACATTGATGTAGAACTAAGACCATTGTTTTTATTTCATTCAAGAAATAAGGATCGAAAGAATATCATACCCTGCATTGATCACGAATATTATGTTTTTCAGAAAAATTTCATAAATTCTCTCCACAACATCCGTTCGAACCAATTTATATTTTTTAGAATAGAGTAAATATCGTTTGCTTTTTCAAACTATTTTATTTCGAAAATCCATTAGTCATTGATGAGTAATAATAAGATAACATGGAATTTTTTTTTGTATACATATAATTTAACATCAGTGAGTCGAGCAACGCAAAAATAAATTTTAGATAAACCAACCATTGATTTATCTTTTTGTTCTTTCTAAATGAAAATCATTATTTTATTTTTAATAAAATATGACAAAACATCAAGATGAAAAATTTTAGATGTTCTTTTTTCTTTTGGGTTAAATTTTCGGTCATTGCGAGACCATCATCAGAACAAGATTGTAGTGTAGTTAAATGGGTGTGGGTGTAGGTGTCAGAGATGGGATCGGTTGGCATTTTTACCAAACCGAACCGACCGTAACCGACCGAATTTCAAAAGTTTCGTAATCAAACCGAGTTTAGAGAAAGCGAAGTTTAGTTTATGTTAATTAGGGTATTAGTGCTTTATAAATTAGCAATTTTGCTGTTAATTCACGAGCGCAGAATATTTTCTTTTTTTCATGAGTGTTGTTTCATATAGACATGCACCAAATGTGATTCCAGACAAATCGAAATGTTAGAATTGACTGGGTTTTAGTTTGCATTTGAGAAGATTTGGCTTCACTCGGATCTAATATACCTCCCATAAGAATTTCAGATTTTCGGCTTGAAAATCTGTTACATCTAGGGAAATCTTTGTATGATTTAAGTCCAGTTTTTTTCGCTCTATCCGATAGGGGCACTAGATTTCCTCTAACATTTAAAAAAATTCTAAGATTTGACAGAATTTTACGGGGTGTGGGTATGATGATCAAAGATCTGAGGCACGAGATAAGCGCGTACAGCCACACCCACATCAGTGTCAATTGAAAATAAGTATTAATCACAAAACAAAGAAACTGCTAGAAAAGGCAAAATTTTACTGTAGTTTTCTAAAATCTCGAAACGAAGGGTTTTAGATAATCCACTTGCCGGGTCACATTTTGGACATGTCTTGAAAACTCAATTGCTATGAACAAAATTTTACTGGAGAATATTATTAAAAGAAAAATCAGCCAAATGTCTTCAACCATCGAACAGATATTTCTGTTTACTTTTTGAATGAACTTTTACACAACTTACAATGTCAATCATGTTTTCTTTTGATGATCCAGCAATGTTCTAGACTTTATTGTTCTTCACACTCAAACTCGTCATGAAACAAAAAATAGGAATGTTAAAATAGTCAGTTAATTAAAAGATATCAATGATTTTCGAAGTATTCTGTTAAATAATCTTGAATTGCTTTTGAATCACGTTTAAGTACTTTAGCACTCCTATGAATCGTTTCAACAACTTTTTAAACTTTTCTTATAACAATTGGTGTATTAACTGAATCAAAAAATGATTGAATTTCACTGGTGACGTTTTCATCGACAAAATCCAGTAAACAACACTCAATAAAACAAATAAATAAGTGCATGATCAACCGAAAAACGAAGTAGAATGGATAACTGTTAACATAAGCCCTCTCGAAAACAATTAAATTTTCAAGTAAAAACCTCGTATAGATTGTTTGAAAGTGTATCATGCTACTAGGTGATAGTCATATAGTACTTGTTCAATTCAACTGAAATAATCACTGATCGTCATATGTGTAGTCGAGTCGATTATTATTGATAACCAACTGTGCAACAAGTTCTAAGCATGGCTGGCTTGTCCACATGGTTTGGAGTATTTTTGTAACTGATATTCAATAGACTTTAATAAGAGTATTGTAATATCGACGAAAACGAATATAATATTTTAGCTGAGCATCTCAAATAGAGTGAAGTTAACTTGATTTCTAATATTTTTACAAACAGCTTTTCTTTTTCATTGAAAAATGATCTTGTCATTCAACAGCTCTGTTTTCTTTAAGTTTCAAGCTATTCGAAAGTCAACTATCGAATGCTTGATTATGATCGTCAAAACAAATTTGATGAAATCTATTATCTTGAAAGAAACAGTGAAAGTACTTTTGAAAAACATTTCAATCAACTCAACTTTAAGTGCTCATGCAGAATATTATTGCCGTTTTCACACAGGTACTAATTTGCTTATCAAAATCTACGAAATAATAATTACAAGTAAGACTCCTAATCAAATCGCGCGCATATTCTCCGGAAGATTTTTCTGATTGGTAAGTATTTTCTACGCAATATCTATTATTCGACTTTATGGTCATGCATGCAGTTAGTAGATAAGAAGAACTGACTATTAAAAATAGTTGAATTCAATGTACATCTATCGATCATTGACTATTCCAGTTGATTTCGACAAATGCTTCATGATTAATATAAAAATTAAGATTCTCAACGGAATAAATTTTAACAGAAATCAACTTTTCTTCTATTAAATTTACTTCACAAAAACGAATAAGAAAGCGACTCTTTTCTCCAAAACGTTCCGCAAGTTTCAGCCAATCATTTTGTAGAAATTTCCAAGCTATATCTCGACCAATACGACTTGATGTACAACCAACAAGACCTAAAGGTGAATCTTGCATTCGGACATCATCCTGCAGTAAGAAACAGAATCCAAAAGATATAGATATTTATATAGGATATTTTAAATCATACGCTTTCAAATATAAATTGTAAAGTCTTTTCAATTATATTCGGATCTACTGATTGACCCATTGCACGCAGCAATCGAACTTTTTCTTCTGTCATATCAGCTGCTTTATATAATTTTCGAAGTTCTTCTTGAGTACTTTCATCTCCATAACGTGAACAAATAGCATAAACAGCTTCACGAATATTTGGATCAATTAAATCTCCATTTAGATGACATTGAAAACGTCTTTTAGCTTCATTGATTACAGCTTTATCATCTGATTTACCCATCATATTTAAAATCATTGGACGTAACATAACTACAAGAGGATTTTCATTTTCTTTGGTATCCCAACCAAATTTTGTTTTTGTGTTGATGAAAGAACATGTGCTCGACATTTTTTAAACTGATCAAAATAATCTGTATATTCAATTAACGATGATAAATCATCAATCGTTGATACTAAAAGTAAGAAGATTAAACAACAAATTTGAAGTTAGTCTTTTATGATGTTTGTGATTATCTTTTACCTATCGATTTCCAAACAGTACAATTATCTTCATTTTGATATGATAAGATTAATTTAAGATAATCTACAAATGATTGATGACCAGCATTACATAAAGCAGCAACATCATCTTGAGTCATAAGACGATCTTGTGAACTAAGTTTTTTGTCAGCTATAGATTCCTTTAAATTACCTAATGTTGTTGATTGATATTTAACACGATAAAGACCAATGGAATGATAATTTAATTTAATCCAATCATTTTCAGATACATTCTCTAATGTTATTGTTATTTCAGGTTGATCCATTAATATTTGTTTTGCAATTAAATTTGGATTTGATTTTGTAAAAACAGTTATGCGAATTTTCCATTGAAGATTTTCATTATCAACACTACCATCAGCAATAAAACGTTGTTGTTTTAATTTGAGAATACGGGTATTATTTGGTTGTTTTTCTTCGATGACAGTTACAAGTGGATAACCCTAAATAATAGAATAAACAAGAAAGATTTTTTTTAAATATATGAATGATATCATGATTCAACAAGTTTTCAGTTTATACTCATAGATCAAAATCTTGAGCATCATGTATAATTGAAAGCATAAACAATGGAAGGTGTAGATTTGAAAAACGTAAGCTTCGTATAAAATACGATTCTGAGATTTGGTCAGATATGAATCTGACGTTATTTGATTAGACGAAAGTTATTTTAGTACAGGCATTGGAGCGCTTTACTTGTTTCTCTATCTATTGACATAAACAAAATTGTGATATAAATAAAGCCTGATATCCTTGTCACCATGATTATTAATGGCATTTATTATTGTATTTAAGTAGATCGGTATCTACAATAGATAGATCGAGCATTAAACCTTTTGCTCCTAAGACAAAGTATCTATCTTTTCTTGCATGGCATTATCATTGATTCCTTTTGATTGAGTAAACATACAGCTCTGACAATTGAGTCTTATGCAAAAAAAGAAATAATTAACTAAGTATAATTCAACAGTCAATAGTAGCCTAATGGCATATATGTAAAGCAAAATTTGATTAAATTGGTTCAATTTAAATAATGTCAACATTCATATCGTCGAAGAAAATAAATGTATCTTATATCTATTGTAAAAATTTGAAAATTCTTCCATTTAAAGAAAAGAAATAAAATAGCGTCGTGTGTTTTATGTCAACAATAGAACTAAATAGTATAAAACAATTTTGCTATCTAAGTTTCGTTCAATTCTACGCTAAAGTAATACGTAAAAAAATGTACTTATATTAACAAACAAATTCTACTGATGTTTATCAATTTTAGATTGTGTTTGTCAATAGAAAGTGATAAAACTATAGTAGAATGCTAAAATGACTCGCGCCTATACCTTATTCATATGAAATTGTGATTATTTTGTTAGATTTTTTTGTCTTAAGACTATATTATTTGAGAATGTCTTGAAATTTTAATTCAAATAAATTATTTCTTGGTAACATCAGTGCAAAGTCGAATAGTTTTTAAGAAGAGTTAATATTTCAAGCAAATCTTGTTTCAAACTGAAAACCACAAAGTTTTGTCATCATATCAAGACTTTATATGATAAGAACATCAACACGAATACTTTTAGCATTCTACTCGTCTCATCATATTCTATTCAAAAGCAAAACTGAATTGTGTAGTAGACGAGTTATACTGAAAACAGCCTGCCATTGATATTCAAAAAAATTTTACCCTACAAGAAAGTACCACTGTTAACTATGAAATCGTTCTAAATTGCTAAATTATAGTTCAATGAAGAATGAATATTTTATACTAAAATCACTGTTGTTTCCAGTCTATCCAACGAAATTTTTAATTTAAATTCGTACTAGAATACATACGTTGAACAATATAACAAAGAGGTATGAAAAACAAAGTTCAATATCATTATCATACAAAAATTAAAATTCAGAAGAAAAAAATAATCAAATTAAATACTGAGAGTGTATAACTTCTTTGACATGACATATCTGCAACGGTAATTATCCATCCACGCTTCACGTAATTATCGGTATAGTATTATCAGATGCAAAAGTGTCACTGTAAAAGTATTCGTGATCACAAATATCATACGGAAACATCATCAAATAAAGGTCACATGTCATTAGAGCCCGTCGGGTCCGACATTTTTGGACCCGATACCGGACCCGATAAACAGAGAAGTTTTGGAGCCGGACCCTATCCGACGGGCTCTAAATGTCGTAAAGCTTCACAATTACGCGAATAGTCGATAGATTAGATTCATATGCATAATATCGAATGTTTGTTATCAGATCTAAGGTTACCCAATGAAAATTAGCGTTTGTGAAGATAATGTTAAAAATTTTAAGCGTGCTTCGGAATTTTCTACATTTCTCTGATATGTTTTAGAACAGTTTTTCTATTCATTTCTATGTTCTCTGGATTTAATTTGATTAACAAAGATCCTTTTATTCTTGTGAAATAAATTACTAAAATTTGTACATACCATTTGAAGTGTCCATGATGACATAACTTCATTAACTGGTTTATTCGATGCTTGAGATAAATGTGACCATAGATTCACCGTTACTGTATTTTTATAACTATACTCTGTCAAATAATTATGAAGGCCTTTTCGAAAAGCATCATCACCAATATAATCATGTAGCATACGAATTACGGAGGAGCCTTTTGAATATGAAATAGCATCGAAAATTCCATCGATTTCAGCAGGATGTTCTATACTCAAAACCTATTATAAGTATAAACAGAAGCATTAAAAACCTTTACCAATAGGTACTTCAATTGGATGTGATGATTTCAATGCATCATGTATAAGAAATCGTGCAAATGTATCAGCAACAAATTGTGTCCAAATATCAAATTCAGGATAAAATTTATCAACAGCTAAATATTCAATCCATGAAGCGAATCCTTCATTAAGCCCTAAACAAAATAAAAATCCAAATCTAAACATACAGCAAATCTTTTATTTTTCTTACATAAATCAGTCCACCAGTCCATAGTCTACAAGTAAAATGAAACAACATTGAATCATATTATCTATTTTCAAAACTAATAACATACAACTAAGTTTCCAAACCATTGATGTGCAAGTTCATGAGCAACAACAATTGTTACATGTTGACGAGTTTCCATAGATGAGAATTTTGGATCAATTAAAAGTCTCATTTCATGATAAGTAACTAACTAAATAGCAAATAAACCGAAAAACAAAACGTATTGGTCGAAAGTTAAACAGTAACTTACACCCCAGTTTTCCATGGCTCTGAAAAAAATAGACAAAAATTCATTATGCAAATTTTTAAAATCTTTTCTTACGCGGAATCAAAATCTGAAATAGCGATTTGGTCAGCTTTAGCTATTGGATATTTAATATTAAAATATTCAGCATAAAATGGTAAAACTTTTGAAGCAATATCCAATGCAAAACGACCATGCTCTTTTTTGCCTACTGGTGTGTAAACTTTCATACTAACACCATTGGAATCTTTTATTTCAACATAATCATATTCACCAACAACATAAGCAACTAAGTATGTACTCATTATTGGTGTTCGATCAAATTTTGTTATTTTCCATTCTTTATTATCAGAAAATTCACTTTCAGATTTTATTGGCTAGAATAACAAAGAAAAGAAAATAGGTTTATAATTTTAATATTTCAAAAATAAATTCATTGATGTCAATATAGAATAATTCGTGAAATCAATGCGTAAGATATCAAGGGCAAAAATAGTAGATGATCGCATTCTGTGAAGTTCTAGATATAGACAGATTGAAGTAGTACATTGAGATGAACACCAGACGTTTTGATTTCAATTGAGAGATAAGAAAATATCATGAAAACAGCAAGTCAAACACTCAAATAATAGATCTCGTCAAGAAATATTTTCCCTTACACTTACTGTGTTTGTCTTTTCGAAATTTAAGAAAATAAAGGTACATTTTTCTCGTGGAACTAGCACCACTAATATAATAATCAAGTTCTTATTTGAATACCTATAGTTATCTAACTTTTTCTTGAACAATCTTATTCTCTCCACTGAAGAAAAAGTCATATGAAATAAGTTGCGCTTGTGTATGTGTTTCTGGTAGATCAACAGAACATTCTGTAACATGAACGTAACAGGATTCTGAAGAATCAGATACTTTCATGTTGAAATATCAGTCAATCGGATGCTTTCAATCTCTGGTACTTGAGAAATACCCTTTTGTGATGTTGAATATCAACTAGTCACAGTTATATGTTGTGTTTCTTTCGATCAAATAGACTTTTCGAAGCGGAAAATCACCGACTAAGATGTGTATGCTTTCATGGTCTTCTCGAGTCACATTATACTATCGCTGAGAGATTCTGGAAATTGAGATCGTTTTCACTTTATTATCTTGATTTATTTAGAGCACTATTGTTTCAAAGTGAGAAGGAAGATAAAGTGAATCCGTCTGCATCTATGATGTTGATTTCTATTTACTTTCGTTTGATTGGTCATTTTCTTTTCGACAGTGATATTTCTTAAAAGTTGATGCAACGTACTACATCCACACAGTGTTTTGCTATAGCCCTAGTGTTTCCATTTTTGAATCTAGAGTCTTATCATTGATAGCGACCTAATTTTTGTGAAACTATTCGAACGATTACTATGCTAGATCTTAAACAGAAATGGATGATCTTTTGTGTAAGATGATTATAACGCGTGGATGATTATAGTCACGAATGGTATTCTTATGCGCAGCTACAAACGCTCAGCTACTGAATTCATCCGTGCCATGTATATATATTTGCTTCTCATGAAATTTGTCATAAATCCAACACGTATATGGAGTACTTCATCAACATTCAATTGAAAATGGATTGTGATATAAGGTACATTTTCTCGAAATATTCGGTCACGAGTTATTCCATTATGAATCGAACAAAAATAGCGTAGTTGTATAATAGAAGAAGATTATATGTT